ACCAGCCAGTGCTCGTTCCATCCACCCTCTCCTCAAATGTCTAGATGACATTAAGGCATGGATGACTTCAAATTTTCTCAGTTTTAACGACCAGAAAACTGAAGTCATCGTCTTTAGTCCTAGCTCAGCTGCCTCCTCAGATCCTGCAAACCTGGACTCACTTCAGCCCTATCTCAAGCACACTGTTAGAAATCTCGGGGTGGTTTTTGACTCGGATTTTAAGTTTGACAAACAGATCAGTTCAGTTCTGCAGAAAAGTTTTTTCCAACTGCGGCAGGTAGCTAAGCTCAAGCCAGTGTTATCCAGACCCAACCTTGAAACATTAGTCCATGCCTTCATCACAACCCGCCTGGACTATTGTAACTCACTTTATGCTGGGGTCAGTCAGGCGTCCATTTCACGTCTCCAGCTCGTCCAAAATGCAGCTGCTCGGCTTTTAACTGGTACACGTAGGTCTGAGCACATCACACCTGTTCTGTCCTCCCTTTACTGGCTTCCTGTGCGATCCAGAATCGACTTCAAGATTCTCCTCCTGACATATAAGTGCCTAAATGGCCTCGCACCCCTCTACCTCTCCGAGCTCCTGGAACCATATGTTCCGTCTCGGGCCCTGAGATCATCGGACCAGCTTCTTTTGGTCGTTCCGAAATCACGCCTGAAGCTCCGAGGGGATCGAGCTTTTTCAGTCAGAGGTCCCAACCTGTGGAACAACCTGCCCCTCAACATCAGGCAGGCCTCCTCCCTCCTGATGTTCAAATCCCTCCTTAAAACGCACCTGTTTGCTCTGGCGTTTAATACGGTGTGAGTTAGTTTATTTTGTTCTGTGTACCTCATTTTAATTCTGTTGTTTTATGATTGACGTTTATTTTTACTGCTTGTTTTTCCTTAGTGTGATCATTAGTGTGTGTTATTGCTCCAGTAATTTTAATTCTGTATGATGTTTTTGTTTTGCTGCCTATGTTTTGCTACATTTCTGTTAAGCACTTTGATAACAGTTTATCTGTTTTAAATTGTGCTCTACAAATAAAGATGACTTGACTTGACTTGACTTGACTTGATAAGAAACAATGTTGTGCAAATATTTTTGTCGATTTGTCCAAAACATTTGACACCGCTGATCATGGCATTTTAAAACTTAGGCTTCTTCAGGCTCTCTGAGAAAGTGATGGCATGTTTCTCAAACTACCTCAATAATATCAAAGTGCATGCTCAATCATCCAGGTACAAAATCCAGTAATGTTCAGTCAGGTTACTGTATCTGGACAGTTTCTTTTTTGTGGAAAGACGTTTTGCCCTCTATCCGGAGGGCTTCATCTGGAGGGATGATTAGAGCATGGACTTTGATGTCTTGAACCACTTTGACTGGCTGCCTGCCTGGAAGGAGTTGACGGGGGACAGGACAGCCCCCAGAAACCATCTTATCATCAACAAACTGGTTGGTCCACTAAAGGAGTGCACTGCTTAGTGGGGAAAACAGTTTACTTGGGACTCCTCCGACTGATGAAGCCCTCTGGATAGAGGGTGAAAAGTCTTTTCACAAAAAAGAAACTGTCCAGGTGACCTGACTGAACATTATTGTACCTCAGTAATAGAACTCAATGCATAAAATATGATGGTCTGTGTTCAGAACTCACCAGAGTACATAAGGGGGGTGCCGCAGGGTTCTGTTCTGGGTCCCCTCTTATATTTATATCAATAATTTGGGTATAAATGTGTCTGATGCTGACTTGCACTTTTATGCTGATGATACAGTTGTTTACCGCTGTGAATCAGCTCCTGATCAGGCTGTTGATGCCATACAACTTTCATCACTTCTGCTAAAGCTTGTTCTAAATGCAGACAAGATACAGCTTGTGTTGTTTGCCAAGAAGAAACACATTTTCATTCCTTCTGTGACCACGACCAAAGGAATTGAAATAGAGCAGGCACATGTCTGTAAAGATCAAGGAATTATGATATATGACTCCCTTACTTTGAAGCCAAACTGGTGAAGAGGCTGATAATAAAATTGGGTTTTTACTTTCGGAATAAATTGCGTTTTTCTTTTAATGTGAAAAAGCAGCTAGTTTCTGCTACTTTCTAACCTGTGTTGGATTATGGAGATCTGTACATGAATGTGTCTGCTCAATGTTTGTGAATGATTGACACTGATACCTATCAGAGGTTCATTATAAATTGTAAAGTACTGACATCACTGAGTTATGCTCCATGGTAGAATGGCCTGTTCTGGTATATATTCATATACAAAGCAAAATGTGGACATCTTCCATCTTATATTTGTGCTCTGATTGTAGAGCGAGGTGCTGGCTCTTACTCCATCTGCTCGCACGACTATTTGATGCTTCTGTTCCGTTTGTCCGAACTGAACATGAGTAAAAAAGACTTTTGTCCATTCTGCATCTGCTACATGGAAGTCACTGCAAAAAGACTTTAAACTGACAGAGTTCATTTCATTGGGCACATTTAACTCAAAATTGAAATTACTTGAGATTAACTCTACAATTCGTGCCTGTTGTTCTTAATTTTTATGTATTTATTTATTTATCGTTGTTTTTAATGTTTCTTAGTTTGGCGTTTTAATTTTTTGGTCCAGACAGTGACGTAGCTGTGTTTTGTATTTGCTGCTGCCTATCTTGGCCAGGTCTCCCTTGAAAAAGAAGGTTTTAATCTCAATGGGATTTTCCTGGTTAAACAAAGGTTAAACGATAATTTTTAAAAATCAGGAATGTAATCTGTTCCTTCTGGGCCGGGTTGAGTCGGTGCAGCAAGCAGACGAGTTTAAATGTCTCAGAGTTGTTTTCATGAGTGGAGATAGGATAAAATGAGAGGTGACCAGATGGATCGAGATGTCTTCATTGCATGATTTGTTTGAAAAGATCTGCTTGGGTTTTTACTTTCTGAATAATTTGATTTACTGAATAAAAACAGAGTCCACATTGTTTATAATTAGCCATATTATTAAGACTGATACGCAGTTAGATCTTATGGAAAATTCATATTTGGGGGTGGAGGTATCTCTTTGGCATTGTTTTCTCTCAACTCATCAATGAACTTTTGAAACATCGACCATGCTGCAAACTGATCAACCAGTTTTGTTGTTGTTGTTGTTGTTTGTTTTTTCTCGTTACATTTACTTATCCATGTGATTTCTGTGAAAACTAAAAAGAGTGGATTTAATTTTTCACACTCTACTTCTGCATTTTTACTTACCGGTAGTTTTCTTTTTTCTTTAAATAAAAATTATCCAGTTTTTGATGCTCAGTGTTTTTGTTCCAGTAATTTAATTTGAAGAACTGGTTTTCTGTGTTTTATTTATTTATTTATTTTTAAAAAGCAAACAAGAGTGTTCAGTAGTCCCTCATTTATTGCGGGGGATCCGTACCCTGAAGCCCCGTGATAAGTGAAAAACCACAAAGTAGAGATTGTAATACAAGTAGTAAGTAGTAGTTAATTTTAGTATATATACATTTCAAACCCTTCCCACACTCTTTCAATATTCTAAACAATGTTTCTAACCTCTAAAAGCTCTAAAAGAACAAAGAATGTCGTGATTTTATCTCTCTGCCTCTTTTCAGGCTGCACTCAGCCACCTGCAAGCGGTCTCAGCCACGCCCATTTCCCCCACTCCGCACGGAGAACAGCTGATCAGCTGCAGACGAAGCTTATCCTGCAGTGTGAGCTGCACAGAGAGGCAGGAGGAAGCTTTTTCTGCATCTCTGGGCTGCACAAATGGGCAGCATTTGCGAAATAATTAGAAAAAAATTGTTTTAAATAAAAATTCCATGCCGATCGTGCGGCTCATCCATCAGTCAGCCAATTGTGTGTCATGTCCACTCCTATTTTGAAAAACCGCGATAGAGCGAGTCTGCGGTCAACGAACGGCGAAATAGACTCTACTTGTTTTTATGATGGCTGGTTTCTGAACGTTGCAGTGTTAATGATCCTTAGTGTGACAAACACTCCATGTGTTGTCCATAGATATATAAATTATATACATAAAGACACTTGTGAAGGATTTTGACATTTCCCCTAAATGTAATTAAACACATGAACACATCATGCTGTCACTAAACGTTTGTTTTAGTCTGCAGGGTTTGAAATTTTGTACTAATAGTGATTGATTTGTTTAAGAAAAACAAACTTTATTTTACCATCATTCCTTCCACATTTTACATTTTACCACACATTAAAACACACATTGTCTTCTCTCCAGGCCTTTTCCTTTGGAAGGATCGGCTGCTGATGATGAGATCTACAGCGGCCTGTCAGACCAGATAGAGTAAGCCTTATCCTCGGGGACCGTTACATTTGTACTCTCCACAAAAAGGAACAAATATGTAAAATGTCACTTATTTGTAACTAAACCAAATGGGGAGATGAGTTAAGGTTTGATTGTTTTTTTTAAGTAAAAAAAAAATTGTATTTTTGGAGACTGGTGTGTATTATTTAAAAAACTGTTTAAAAAAAAACCATTTGAACTTTTGAAATAGATCTTAAACAAGTTCACACATTCATAAACACCAGCCTACAAAATGTAATGCAGCGAAAGAGCACATGAATCAGAATATTAAAAATAAATAAGCACCAGTTCTGATCTGTACTATGATTCTTGTGCAGCACTTGTAATGTTCCTGCAATAGAAGATTTGAAATAAATTAGTTACACTTTGGGACATTTTTCAATTAAAATTTAATCAAATGGGAAATTTTGAACCAAAGCAAAGTCAAAGCGAAACAGATTTCACCATTTCGTAAGTTTACTGTGCTAATAAGAGAAGTGGAAAAAAGTCTGTGATTCTGTAAATTCTTAATAATCCTAATGTTGTTCTTAAATGACAAAAGGAATAATTTAAACAGCCTCACATGTTTACCAGAGTCTATAATTATCTTTGAAAAAAAAAGCATCTTAGTGTTACTCCACAAGAATATGGAGGCAGCACAAAGATGGCAGTGATGATGATGATGATAAAGTTGTGTTTGTGTGGTGTCTCTCAGTGACACGGTGGATGAAGATGAAGACTTGTACGATTTTGTGGAGGACGAAGACAACGAAGGCGATGAGATCTATGAAGACTTGATGAGGACAGATGAGCCGCCTGAAATTGTGAGAACTCTGGATGAAACTAAAACGTCAAACAAAAAGTAGCATCCGAGCAGCTTCTGGTAACCTGCAAACTGTACAGGGGTGTAGAAATGTGTCGGATTAACCATGAATTCTGTTCTCTGATCATCACAGTGGCTTTGACTTCAGACCTCCTGGTTTCCTGAACACCTTCATTAATCTATAAAAACCCTATTATATGAAATACTGGTAGCACTTTACAATACGGTACACACAATTTGATTAACTACTAGGGAACGCCTCAGGAACGAAGTAGGAGCTAATGGGTAGTTAACCAGTACTTACTGGGGAACACACAGCC